TAAAAAGAAATGAGCTATCAAACCATGAAAAGACATGGAGGAACATTAAATGCATATTACAAAGTGAAAGAAGCCAATCTGAAAAGGCTGCATACAGTATTATTCACCTATGGGGAGGGGTCTCCTTCCTCTCTCTCCATCCCTCCCCTTGCTTGTGCTCTCTCAAATAAATAAAATCTTAAAAAGAAAAAGAATAATTTTAATGTACTGTTATAACATAACAAAGAGAAAAAATCATTCCCAGATGATTTCCTCAGATGTTTAGAATGAAGAAAAATAATCCACTAATTAATGAAAGTTTTGGGGTGTGTTTTAATTTTTTAAAAATGACTTTTTCTATATCACATCTACTTTCATTGTGAAAATAATATAGAGTATAAAAGTGAGAATATAGGCATAGACTATTCAAGCAAATATTCAGTTGTTGCATAAAGCTGTTCAATAATGATAATTTTCTAAAAAACAACTATGAAGGACACCCCAATTAATATTAGAAATATGTACATGTGATGTGACTATGGAGTTGCACTTAAAATGTCTTATAAACCAAACATACTAGTGGTTTTTGCTAGTTGGTCCTTGTGAAAGTGTTTTGAGAATATAGAACTATAAATTCTTCCACTCAAAGTTGAGGGGTACCATCGTATAAATAGAACACTGGATTTTAAAAAAAGAATTCTTGATATTAATTAGATTGCACTGTAGCTTTATTTTAACTTAGTTTTATTCCCCTCCCCCAACATTTTAAACTCATATCTTGAAAATAAACTAATAGAACATTAATGTATTAGTAAATATTAATGTATTTATATTTGGCCATATACAATTATTTATATTTACCTTCAAGTAACTGAAATTTAATACTGCTTTCAATTTAAACAATTATGTCATAAAATGAGTGTGTATATGGTATGTAAAAATGTATATATATATATTTGTGCATATGTTATATATACATATAAAATATGTGTTATTTATACACATTTACAGTAAAATATATTCTATCTTAATGTTTCAAATACTTTTACTCCAAGGGGATGCCAAAAAATTCAAATGCATTGGCTGTTCAGTTTCTGATTATTTCACTCCTGATATAAGAACAGCAGTGAGATGGAGAGTACAGATACATCCAATCCTTTGAGATTTTTAAATTATATTCTATGAGCTCAAATACACTATATACATACATTAATACATACATACATACATATCCTAAAATAAATTATATATATAATACACATTTCACATATATTTTAATTTATATTGTATTTAATGGAATTAATGGAATAATCAGAAACTGAACAATGACCTATTTTTTGGCACCCTCTTGAAGTGAGAATGTTAGAAAAAATAAAATTCCATATTCAGAAAAAATAAAATTCCATATTCTTTTCAAATAAGTAGTATACAGATGATAATGACTGGAGCATCATTTGGAACTATACACGCAAAAAGGGAGCACTCTCACAGCATCCTCATAATTATTCTGTGGACTATATATGATTCTTCCAAAAGCTCAAGGTAGAATATTAAAATTACTAAAGTATTATGAATGTTGTTTTAATACATACCTAGATAAGAGTCCACCGTGTGCTTCTAAATTTTTAATTATATTGTTTTGTAAAATACATTATTTAGATTGGGAACCTCAAATCTGGTAAAGTAACCTTAGTAAGGCAATGTCTTTTGTTGGCAGAGAAGAATGAAGCTATTAGCTCAGGAAGAAAAGTGAGTTAGATTAAAAAAAAAATTATTCTGAAAAAAAAATTATTCTGGTCCAAGATAAAGGACTTTCAGTGGAAAGGGTAACACCACTTAGCCTTTGACACAGCATCTGCCATTAAAGTAGTCCTGAGGTCCCCAGAGTTAGGCAGGTGCAACAGTGCTCACAGAGAACTCCCTAACATAAACCTGAGATGGAGATTTTGGCCTTTATTCAAGAACCAAAAGTCCTCGAAGAGGAATTGATTACAAGTTTTGAGTTAATGGGTCCAAGGCGTGATACTGACAGGAAGGAAGGACAACCTCAGATTTCTGGACTAACAGTAACAGTCAAAAGAAAGGGTGGGCCTGAAAGCATGAAAGAACCCCCATGATTAAGAAGTGCTAATGTGAGAATCAAAATTAAACAAACAGAACAAGTTAGCTGTCAACTGGAATGGATTCAGCATGTAAACAGCCATGAATCCATGATGATAATCAATTGGAACAAATCCTGTGATGAGCTGAATCAGACCTTGACACTGTGTGTCTCATGATTCCTCTTTCCTCAGGTCTTGCACCTGTATTTCTGAGGTCAGCATCACATCCAGAGAAAGTTTCCCTCCTTGTACTCTTGGGAGTTTGCTCTGCTTACCCAGGAAAGCTGCAGCTCCTGCGATGCTATAGATCAGGGCTCAAAAAAGAGCTCCCTGAGAAACTCACTGATGCTTTCTCATTCACTGAAATTTCATTTCAGGGGAGCAAATTTCATTTTAATGACACTCATTGAGAATGCAAACTGATTTGCAAGGAATTCTCAAATTATCCTGTGGCTCAGCTTCTGCCAAAGGCATCCCCAACAGTACCACTAACACTATGGTTATTAAATAAAAAATGTTTGCTTTCTTTTTGTCCAAAAGGTAGTGATCCTCAAAATACGATCTGGGAACCCATGGGGGTTTCTGAGATCCTCCTGAGGAGTCTGTGAGGCTAAATTTATTTGCATAATAATCCTGAAACTTAAACTTACTTAGTTTTTCTACTGTTTTTCACTTGACAATTATATAGCAACAGATTGAATGCAGAAACAAATACTCTGCAAGAATCCAGCTGTCTTCTATTAACCTGATATTAAAGATATTTACAAAATGTAAAACATTGCCCCTCTTCTATATTTTGTTATTTTAGGGGATCCCTGGATGGCTCAGCAGTTTGGCACCTGCGTTCCGCCCAGGGCCTGGTCCTGTAGTCCCAGGATCAGGTCCCACGTCAGGCTCCCTGCATGGAGCCTGCTTCTCCCTCTGCCTGTTTCTCTGCCTCTCTCTTTCTGTATGTCACTCATGAATAAATAAAAAAAATCTTTTAAAAAATAAATAAATTCTGTTATTTTGAAAAATATAGCTATTTTTCATAAAATGTATATTCTAACATAAAATGAGACTTAGCCATGTGAAAATCAGTGACCAGAAATAGAGGACTTGAAAATAGGAGTGATGAATATGAAGCAAGATCATTTCCCATCTTTGCGGAACTTCACTTGAAAAGATGTGGAGGTGGAGGAGTGTGGAGGACCTTGTTTCCCCAGGACTCGTGTACAGAGTAAACCAGTAGAAAAATTCAATCACGGATGTACAGCCTGGATTAGCAATCTTCATCCTTAACTGATGAAAAGAGGTGATTAATTTCAGTTCTCATTTTCCTCTTTATCCGTCTTTATCCCAACACCATTCAGGTTATTTTGTGCAAATGTAGTCCTAGAGTGAGGTAGCAAGTAGGTAACTAGCACTGATGTTACAAAACAAGTGAAAGGGAATGTGACTTGGTAAATTTCCTTTAAATCAATTTATGTGATTCATAGAGCATTCTACCCTAAAGGAGGTGGTGTTGGTGACTGGAAAATGGTGGTATAACCTAAAGGGAGAAAAACTGAAGCTCTGACAATAAGATTTTCACTGCAAGTTCAGGGTTATTTTTCATTTTCACCTTAAATTTGCAGTTTTCTCAGTAATTAACTCCATGGATGACTCTTAGAATTTGGACGTTAAATGAAATATGCACAATAAAATTAATTTGGAGTGTTTGAGGTTTGTAACATTAAAAAAAAAAAAAAGGCTAGATCCTATTGAAAACATACAAGGCCAAAATGTAACTCTGTGCAAAATTAAAGAGTGTGTACAAAAGCCTTCAGATGAAAATGTGCTTTTGCCTAACTCTAAGTCAGGGTAAAAGGCAGTATTAGTTTTCTTTGGAAAGTGTGGATGGCTCTTAAAAAAAAAAAAAAAAAAAAAAACGCCTTTGGGTGTCTGACGAATACCTTTTCCGCTGGCGGGCTCACTTGGACCTGGTGTACTTCTTAAACTGGACTGCTTTGACAGGGTGGAAAATGACTAACTCTCCTCTCCCCGACCCCTCCACTCCCCTCCAACAAAAGCCAAAGGGGACAGAGTAACAGGTACTACGTGCAGTCTTTACTCACAGCCTCACGCGAAGGTGATTAAACTCTAGTGATTTGTGGTAAATTCTGGATAGCATCCTGAAGTTATCCAGTCAAAATAAGGGTATTTGAAAACCAGAATTCCATTGGTTTAAACGAAAGTCTAAGTTCAGCCAATAGGACAGCTTCATTTTGGCGCCCAGTAAGGACTATAATAAGTACTGAAACTTTGTCTCCATCTGTTCCGATCCTAGTCACTGTTGTCTGTGATCATGTGTGGGCGCGGGAAGCAGGGCGGCAAGGCTCGCGCCAAGGCCAAGACGCGCTCGTCGCGCGCCGGGCTCCAGTTCCCGGTGGGCCGCGTCCACCGCCTGCTCCGCAAGGGCAACTACGCGGAGCGGGTCGGGGCGGGCGCGCCGGTGTACCTGGCGGCCGTGCTGGAGTACCTGACGGCCGAGATCCTGGAGCTGGCGGGCAACGCGGCCCGCGACAACAAGAAGACGCGCATCATCCCGCGCCACCTGCAGCTGGCCATCCGCAACGACGAGGAGCTCAACAAGCTGCTGGGCCGCGTGACCATCGCGCAGGGCGGCGTCCTGCCCAACATCCAGGCCGTGCTGCTGCCCAAGAAGACCGAGAGCCACCACAAGGCTAAGAGGAAAGAATTAAGGCTTCTATAGCAAAAAAACTCCCAGAAAAGAAACGGTGGGACATCAGTTGTAGTACCGAACCAGTCGGTTCGGCCGCACATGAAAAACACCTAAAACTTACATGACCATTAACAAGACTTGTGTGAGTGTACAGCTGTTTTTAAAAAAAACCTGGGTGGCTCTGAAAAGAGCCTTTGGGGCTTTGTCGGCTTTTTCAAGGGGCAAAAACTTCCTACTTCTTTTTCGGGGTCGCCTTCTTGGCCTTGGCAGGTTTGGGCTTCGCGGCCTTGGGCTTCGCAACCTTTGGCTTGGCGGCCTTGGGCTTCACCGCCTTGGGCTTGGCAGGACTCTTGGCCGCCTTCTTAGGCTTGGCAGACGCTTTAACTTTCTTAGGGCTCTTGGCCACTTTTTTGACACCGGCGGCTGCAGGCTTCTTGGCCTTCTTGGGGGTCTTCTTCACGGCTTTCTTCGCCCCCGCCGCTTTCTTGGGTTTCTTAGGAGTGGCCCCGGAGGGCTTCTTGGCTCTGGCCGCGCCCGCCTTCTTGGCCTTGGGCTTGGCCTCCCCGGAGGCCGCCTTCTTGTTGAGCTTGAAGGAGCCCGAGGCGCCGGTGCCCTTGGTCTGCACCAGGGTCCCCTTGCTCACCAGGCTCTTGAGGCCCAGCTTGATGCGGCTGTTGTTCTTCTCCACGTCGTAGCCGGCGGCCGCCAGCGCCTTCTTGAGCGCGGCCAAGGAGAGGCCGTTGCGCTCCTTGGACGCGGCCACGGCCTTGGTGATGAGCTCGGACACCGGGGGCCCGGACGCCTTGCGCTTCGCAGCGCCACTGCCCGCTGCCTTCTTGGTGGCCTTCTTTTTGGCAGGGGACTTCTCCACCGGCGCCGGGACAGCCGTCTCAGCGGGAGCAGTTTCCGACATGGCCAAGAGCAGAAGCCGCTGCAGAAAGAGAACCGGAAAAACGAAAGAGCAGGTCTTGCAATGCTGCCTCACTCCGGCCAGGGGCTTATATAAGCCGGTGCTGCTCTGTGATTGGTGGAGCGTCCGATCCACTGCCCTCAGGCAGCCGCTCTTCGCGGTTGGACTCCCAAATTGTGTTTGTTAGCTCCCAAAATCTGATTAAATACTGAAAATTATTATACAGAATTTGACGTGTTGAAGCTCTCAAGGAAGAAAACAGTCTCTAGGTTCACATGCGGATTCGTGTATTCATGAATCATGTACAACAGATGAAAGATTTTTTTTTTAAATCTTTTCAGTTTTTCATAGGAATCCACTGGGTTTAAGGCATTATGGTAGTTAGTTCAAAGTTGCAGTAAGTTCTACTAAGTATTAAGTGGACATTTTAAAAAATGCTTTGTCCCTAGGTCTGCCCTTTGATTTTTGTAAGAGGAAAGACACAGGTTCTCGGTTTGGGAATAAACTGTAGTTAGTAACACAGAGGGAGGGCAGCAGCTTGCCTGCAGCCCCAAATTAACCACATAGATCTTCCTTCAAAAGCCAGTTCTGCCTCCTTGGAGTTTTCACACGCCCAATGTCTTTAGAGAATGTCTTTGGCTGTTTGGGAAAGTTTAGTAGCCAGAATGATATCTACCTTGCAGCAGGAGGAGGAGGAATAGCTTTGGCTTGAGGATCCAATGACCTGAATTTAAATTCAAACTTAAATTTGATATGTTTTTTATTGAGATGCTTTCTCCCTTTATTATTAGGCAAATCCATTATAATAAATGGGAAAGAGAAATAGGTGGCTACTGACTATGAGAAGACTGGATTGGCAATTGAAGGAATACAAGTTATAGACACTCAGAAGTAGTCAAGAATACAACATCCAGGGAAGCCTGGGTGGCTCAGTGGTTGAGCATCTGCCTTTGGCATTCATGACGTGATCCTGGGATTGAGTCCTACATCAGGCTCCCCAGAGGAGGAGCATCTGCCTAATTTAGCCTCTCTCTCATGAATAAATAAAATCTTAAAAAAAAAAAAATACAACACCCAAGATAACTGAAGAAATAACCATGAGGTTGGAATGGAGGGTGGGTAACTTTGCTACTTATTTGGGAATGGACAGGATTTTCTGACTGGCTGATTAGGGAGGTCTAATGATGACTAAAATCTCTACTGCAGTCAACACTCACTTAGTTCTTCCCTGTGAAAAACTGTAAGGAAGTTTAAAGTCATCAACGTATTTCCCTCCAAGGAACCCCTCGAGTTGAAACTATAGTTAATGAAGGCCAAATCTGGACAGTGTCCTGTTTTGCATGGCTTTCAAACTAAATGTGGTTTTTATATTTTTAAAATTGTGTTAGAAAAAAAAAACATGACAGACCATTTTTGGCCTGCAAAGCCCAAATATTTGCAATTTGGCCATTTTTCTATGTTTTTGACTTCTCTACATAGATTATGGCATATTGCTAACAAGCCTGCCTCTTTCAGAACAATGCAAATGAAAAATCAAAGAAAAGGTCTTACCAAGACAAATGTTTTAACCAAGCATGTACCACTATTTCAACCACAAACCTTTCAGATCACGGTGGTCATGGTGGTGGTGGGGACCTCCATGCTGAAGTGACTGGATAGAGGTGTAGTAAAGGCTAACACTCATTGAGCATTCACTACATGCCAGAAACTAAGAATGCTCAACGGTTTTAATTCATTTGCCACATTTCACAGTTATACAAGCTGATACCCAGGGAAAGGATGAGTAACTAGCCAAAGGCTAGTAATTCCCAGCTCTGAGGTTTGAACCTAGAACACCTGCCTCAGCTCTATTATGATGGGAAAATCCTAAAAGGAATGGGGAGAAAACAATTTTTGAAGCTTTTAAGAGGCAGCATCAAATAGTCCCTACAACTAAAGAATCACTAACGAATCTCTAATATGGGGGATGCCTGGGTGGCTCGAGGGGTTGAGCACCTGCCTTCAGCCCAGGGCGTTGATCCTGGAATCCAGGGATCCAGTTCACCTCAGGCTCCCTGCATGGAGCCTGCTCCTCTGCTTCTCCGTGTCTTTCATGAATGAATAAAATCAAAAAAAGAAAAAAGAAAAAGAAAAAAACCCACCTTTTAAAAGGAGAGGTTCTGGCCCCTTGGGTCAGTTCCTCAGTCCCCAGGTATTCCAAAACGCCAGTAGATGGGATATGAACCCTTTCTGAAAGGACAAACAAAATGAAAGGACAAACATGAATATAGGGGAAATATAAGGCCCAGATGTGAACTGATCTGATTAAAAAAAAAAAAGAAAAAAAAAAGAAAACCTCTAGAGAAAAATTCCTACCTCCTGGATTTAGGTAGGATTTGAAGTCAAAAGAAGCAAAATGAGTCAATGATACTCGTGTGAAAAGCACAAGACTTCAAAATCTTAAAATAACTGGACAAAAGTAATACAGCCAAATTGTTAGGAAACTCCGGATTTTAAGTGTAGAAACCTGTAACAGCTTTAAAAAATGATTTAATTCCGTTTGAACCTCTACTTGAAAAAAAAAATTTGAGAACCCAACTTCAGACTGAGTAGTACATCTTTAGACAGGCAAATCTAAACATTTTTAGGGCTACTGTGAGCTTATTTTATAGACAGCCTATAGGGTTAACATCTAGGTGATTGTTAGTCCATTTTCCACAATAGTCACATATGCAAAAGCCCAAGAGCATCCTCTGAACACTGAAATACTGGAAAACCAAACACGTATGGCAATCAATTATCGTTTTAGGCCTTCACATCACAGGAAAGCTAAGATGAAATTTTCTTTAGTAAGAGCATTGGGATCATTTGGCAAAAGTCAACTGTACTTGCCATTTGCGTAATGATCCACAGAAACCGAACAAGTTTTCTTAAATTTCGACGTAAAACTTCCACTTCCTTTGCCCAGACTTCATTTATATGCTATTGGGCCACTTTACAAATTTTTATCCACCAACTGCTTCCCCCAGCGCCCAATTCGAGGGTCTGCCTGTGCAAAATAGGCTTAGTTGATGTATCTCCAGTGCCCCTGTATGCAGTGCTGGCAGGGCACGGAGTCCACAATACCTTTCAAAAACTTCCCGAGTTTTCTCACGGGGCCATGACGTAATCTTCTGTTCAACAGCACTTTTGGGGGACCATGTAGGGGCTCTGAAAAGAGCCTTTGGGGGGTGGCGTTATTTGGAGAACACTAGGAAACTTAAGCTCTTTCCCCGCGTATGCGGCGCGCCAGCTGGATGTCCTTGGGCATGATGGTGACGCGCTTGGCGTGGATGGCGCAGAGGTTGGTGTCCTCGAAGAGCCCCACCAGGTAGGCCTCGCACGCCTCCTGCAGCGCCATGACGGCCGAGCTCTGGAAGCGCAGGTCGGTCTTGAAGTCCTGCGCGATCTCGCGCACCAGGCGCTGGAACGGCAGCTTGCGGATCAGCAGCTCCGTGGACTTCTGGTAGCGCCGGATCTCGCGCAGGGCCACCGTGCCGGGCCGGTAGCGGTGCGGCTTCTTGACGCCGCCGGTGGCCGGCGCGCTCTTGCGGGCCGCCTTGGTGGCCAGCTGCTTGCGCGGGGCCTTGCCGCCCGTCGACTTGCGCGCCGTCTGCTTCGTGCGAGCCATTACCAGGCGGAGACCACTACTGAACACTGCGGGAACGAGAACCCTGCGTCCCAGTATATATAGCAACCCTCGTTACCTGATTGGACGGCAGCCTCCGGCCCCACCCCACGCACAGAATTGGTTCTTGGTTCAATCTCCTAAGGACTGGAAGCATTTTCCCGCCCTCCCGCTTAAGGTCTCTAGGATAATGGACAAAGGAAATGCTTTTATTTAAAGTGTCTAGGATTCATCAAAATTCTTTAAAATGTAGCCTTGAGAATCCGAAAGTGCCTTCTTTCCACTATTTTAAATGAAAGGCGTTAGGATTGCATTCTTGATACATTACAGAAAACTAAAGGAGACTTGAGTAAAGTGGAGGCATTGCTGGGCTTTGAAATTTTAGTCACTGTGTTGTCAGAATGGTCAAACGAACTTAAGAATCACTCAGCTTTTAATTTCTGTACTTTTAAGGTTTTATTTTATTCATGAGATACAGAGGCAGAGACATAGGTAAAGGGAGAAGCAGGCTCTCCTCGGAGAGCCCAAAGCCGAACTGGATCCCAGGACCTCGGATCACGCCGAGCCTAAGGCAGCTCAACCATTGAGACCCCCCAGGCGTCCCTCAGCTTTTTAAAACATGGGTGAGCAAACTGTAGCTTAGTCAAAACATAGTAAATAGGCTTGGCAACTAGCGCAATGGTCTTTAGCAGTAGACTCCTAGTGACCAGAGGTTTTCGTAGTTTCTGGAACTGCTGGGAGATGGGAGGTGCAGAGATGCTATTGTTAGGTCCCATCAGCATTCACGTGGACTTAATTTGCGAGTAATACCGTTTATCTGGCTTGAGTGTAGACATTCTGGAAAGAAATCTTTTTTTAAGTCTACAGCTTTTTAGCTGATTTCGTGGGTGGCCCTGAGAAGGACCTTTTGTTTGGTTATCGGCTTGGGTGAGGCTCAGCCGCCGAAGCCGTAGAGGGTGCGGCCCTGGCGCTTGAGCGCGTAGACCACGTCCATGGCCGTGACCGTCTTGCGCTTGGCGTGCTCCGTGTAGGTGACGGCGTCCCGGATCACGTTCTCCAGGAACACCTTGAGCACCCCGCGGGTCTCCTCGTAGATGAGGCCCGAGATGCGCTTGACGCCGCCGCGCCGGGCCAGCCGCCGGATGGCGGGCTTGGTGATGCCCTGGATGTTGTCGCGCAGCACCTTGCGGTGGCGCTTGGCGCCGCCCTTGCCCAGCCCCTTCCCGCCCTTGCCGCGACCAGACATGCCAGCAGACGAAAAATGCAAGACCTTCCAACCCTTCGCAGTAACAGTTTATATAGCAGTGCGACGGACCTGTTTGGGAACACGGAAGGCCAGCTCCATCCGCTCAGGGAGGTTCCGAGCCAGAGGCCTGCCCATGTTTTCAGGACCAATGCGAAAGGCTGTGCTTAAACCCATCCTTTTAAACTGGATGCCTGATGGAAAGTTCTGCAGTTCTTTGCGCCTACCCGCTGCTGTAGGGCTGTAGGATGTCTGGGCCAAGCTTTGCTGTGTGGTTTGTTTGGTTTGTTTTTTGTTTTGTTTTGTTTTGTTTTGTTTTGTTTTGTTTTGTTTTGTTTTTTTGCTTAGCATTGCTTGCTGTCGTGACATGTAGCTGCTGGAATGGGGTGGCCCCTCTCCAGAACTGGCGGCTGCAGTCACTGGGGCGTTTAGGGATGGATGCAGCGTGCTTTTTGCAGGACCCCAGTGAGTCCCGGGACTCGCTGCACTTCCTGCCTCTGAGTGGGGGCGAACCTTACCTGTCTTCAGGTAGCTTCTCAACTCTATTTTTCACTCATTCTGCCTTCTTTCCCTTTCCTCCATCCCCCTGCCACATATTTCGGGAAGCTCTGACCAATCTCATCAGGGTTAGAAACCCCAGGTTTCTAAAGCTGTTTGAGAAGGAAGGTCACCTTTTACCCCACCCCCATGGGTTTCCTTGGATAGCCGAGCAGAGGGCCACCAGGCCTTTCAGAGCTCCTTCCTCCCCGCACCCTCAGTCCTTTGTTTAACTGGGGGATCGCACCCAGAAACTCTGCCTTTAATTTACAAATAAAACACAGAATAAAGAAACTAGGAACGACTTTACTCCAGGAAAAAAAAAAAAAAAAACAAAACGACAACTTGGGAAGACCAGAGTGTTGGTTGGTTTCCATGACTCTAGCTGTTTGGAATGACCTCCCTCTGGTGCTGGCTTGTCTTCCAACTACTGCTAGGTTTATCGGTCTATTTCAAAGGTGTGTGATTATTTAGTCCTTGAACAAATACCTAATTTTATTATAGGCATCGGCTACCAAGTATATTGTAAACTCCGTAATTACCGTAAATTGAAAACATTAGGTGTCCATGTTCTATGAGTTAATCCATTTTTTACTGAGCTCATCCTGCTCATCATTTTTTCTTTTTTCTATTGCTGTTTAAAAATGGAATCTAAACGCTAAACTTGAAGACAAAATCTCTATCTGCTGGTAGGACAATTGCAATCTTTCCCTTGCAACTTCATCCGGTAAAGATAGCATGCTCTGAAAGATCTGTAATTTGATTTCATTGCATTTGCCAGTGCTCTGCCCTGAAAATATTTACATTCACATCTGTTTCTCAAAGGGGTACTTCTCTGTTAAATTAGATACTTTCTTCATTCTCTTCTCCCAGTTGCATGGAGGGAACAAGCACTGCCTGTAGATTTTTTTTTTTTTTTAGCTTTAAATGGGTTTAGATTTTTCCTTTCATTTAAATTAAATTAAATTAATTAATAAAACTATTAAAATTCTTTTTGTTGTTATTGGTCTTTCTCAGCATACAATTAGGCTGATTGATGTGAGCTGTCCAATAATTTCTTGGTGAATAATTGGGATAAATACAGAGAGGTTTTTTTTCCCTCTCACATTATGAGATATTTTCCAAGAAAAACGTTGACTTTTAAATTTCGTGAAATTCCCTTCCCCCTTAATCAGGTGAATAAGTGAGGTGTACTTGCCTTTCCAGTGTTCTGGTTCTGAAAGTTGCTTACTGATCCACACCTCTGTGGCTGACAAAATGTAATGGTCTTAATTACAAATGTAGGCCTCTATCCTTTTCAATATCGTTATATTTTCAATTTAATCTGCCACATATTCATTTCGTGGAACCCTGATTTTGTGTTGTTTGTTTTGGTTAAGGCTTTGGAGTTGGCCAGTAGGTCGTTTAACATATTTTTTTACTTTTTTATTGTTCTTCATTCAAAATTAGTTTACCTTCTAATAATTAGTATCCCTTCTGATTCCCATCTCTCCTGTCCCCAAAATGCATTCACATTCACATACAAACACAGTCACCTATACACTAATCCAAAACACCACTAGCTTTTTGGATTTTTTTCCACTCTGTGAACTTATACTCTCAAATCTTTTCTTCCACTCTATACTATCTTACCCTTCCACATATATTAGCCTTTTACCAACTCAGAATCTTAAATACAAGACGTGGAAGTATAGAGTTTCCCTCTTTCCTTGCCCCAACCTATGAGGAACTATCATCCCTGCTCTCATCCATACAGCTCCCTTCAGCTTCTCATGTCTCCATGTGCCATTAAGACCAACTGAAGAAGTAAGTCTACAAGATGCAGGATCCAATGTCCTCCCTTGCCTCTTCCTCTTCCCCCACCCTCTTTTCTAGGGTCACCAAGCCATAGTCTTGTCTGCTCATGGCTTGAAAAGTAATTTTCAAAACTCTTTTATCACAGGAAACCTGTGCTTTCTTCTGAAACTCTCAACTCAAATGTATTCTCTGGTATACAAGAGATTTCATGCCTGGCATTTCTTGTTTTACCTAATACCCTACCTTGTTTCTGTAATTTCTTACTCTCATGTAATCAGTGATGATCTTTACATTGTTTTCTAAACTTGCCTTCATTTAGCTGGTTTTCATGCATGTAAATGCACCAAACAATTTTGTCAGAAACTTTCATTCATCTCACCTTATAATATCTCCAGGGTTATTATTGAGAACATAAGAATCAAGGTGACGTGAGGGGTGAGGGCTTCTTAAGTAGGGATCCCCTAGCCCTCCTGGCTTTAAAACAAGGGGTAGAGGCTAAGACACAGTTCCTAAGCTTCTACTTTTTGAAAGTGAACTGGTTGCTATAGACTGAATGTTTGTGTTCATGCAAAATTCGTATGTTGAACCTGACCTCTAATGTGATGGTAATGGGAGGTGGGAATACTGAGAGGTGCTTAGGTCATAAGTGTGGGAGCCCTCCTGAATGGGTCATAAGTGTGGGACTCTCCTGAAAGAGACCCCAGTGATCCATTGTGTGAGAACACAGTGAGATGGCCATCTATGAACCAGGAAGTGACTTCTCACCAGACACTAAATTCGACAAAGCCTTGATCTTGGACTTGAAGCCTTCCAGAACAATGAGAAATATATGTTGTTTATAAGCCACCCAGTCTGTGGCATTCTGTTATAGCAGCCCAAACAGACCAAGACACTAGTGTTCTGTAAATCATGCTTAAAAAGTACTCAGATTTGGTGCCTTTGGTTTTGGTGATTATTCCGAGCTATTTGTAAGTAAAGCTGGAAAATCTGTTGGAGATCCTGGCACAAGTGTCCAAGTATGAACTGAATAATAATAGCAAGGTTGAACCTTTGGTTCAGCTCTTGTTTTTGCCATTTACTTGTCTCTTGATTGATCTTAGAAGAAAGTATTTCTTAGAATTCATCCACTACATTTTACTTATTCATGCCCTTAATTTGTCTCTACCTTTTTCTTTCACAAATAGCACTTTGATGAATATTCTTGATATGTCCTCTTATGGGTTTGTAGGAGAATTTCTTTGGGACATAGACCTGGGCACAATCAATTTTACTAAGTAAATTAAACCGTTCTTCAAAATGTCTTGTGTAAAACCAGAGTAAACAAACTGCCACATGAAAATATGTTTCTCCACTTCCAGAGCAACACATGATTAATATGAGAGGTGTTACCCAGTATTTCATTATTTTAATTTGCATTTATCTGATTACCAAGTGAAGTTTAAAAATTCTTCATATAATTGCCAGCCATTCAATTGTCTCCACTGAAAACTAGATTTTTCTTTCTTTCAGGATAGGCAACAAATTAATACACTAAAGGCATATTTTCTTACACAGAACTATCATTCCTATAAATGCTCTTTTCAGGAGAAAAATTTTAAATGCACGTTCTACCAGTTTCCATCTATGGAAGTACACCATTTCTAATCTTGTCCAGATAAGAAACCTTATTATTGGCAAAGAGATATTTAAAAATTCATTTTTTATATTTAAGACCTCTTTCACAATGAGAACCATGTCTGTGGGAATCTTTTGACAGCATGTCCCACTGCAGAGTGTACTCACCCCCTAAGCTCCATTTCTGATGAATTCTTGGGAACTTTTCTTGCTCCTATTTGATATCCTTTCAGGGCTTCTATCCTTTGGAGCAACTGGGGAGTGAGCAGTTCTAGAAGCATCTGTTCTCATCTAATTTTTTCAATATCTTCCCTGCCTCCTAAACAAAAATCATTCCTGTGCTCCAAGTACTGTTCAGAATTGAAAGACAAGTATAGAAAACTTTACCTGGTGAGGCAGAAACTAAGAGAAATCTTCCAGGAACTAAGATTGGCCATTAGCAGAAATGACATGACTTGCTAATGTGTGACTGATCAAATTGGATCATTTCCCAAATCTCAACTGGTGACTAGTATATCTGACCATTAGAAATGGTACCTCAAAGGGAAGTGGGGGCGGTCGGGTAACTGAATGATGGGCATTAAGGAGGGAATATGATGTGATGAGCACTGGATGTTACAATATATGTTAGCAAATTGAATTTAAATTTTAAAAAAAAATTTTTAAAAAGAATGGTATCTCAAACACACAGTTTTCCAGAAAACAGAGAAAGTTCTAGTGAGAGAGTGGGGATTGGGCTGTTGTCTCTAGCCTAGCCTGCACTAACACCACACCCCCAGGCCCTTAAAGTCTTTAGCTAGAGGTGCATACCAGGTGCACCCCTTCAAAGCAGCCCTACTTGAGCAACCAAAGATATCAGCCTCTCTATATCAGCACCACAAAGCTGGTCTCCAGCCTCTCTGGATAGCAACAGAAGAAAAACCTTGCCGCTAATGGGACAAGGCCAAAGGAAGTTCCTGTGAGTTCAGACACCCTGATGGTGAGGGAAAGAGCTGTGGGATGTGGTCATCCCATCTAGACTAATGGAGTCCATTGGGTGACTCTTTACTATTCCTCTTTTTTTTCCTTCTATTGCTGTTATTCATTGTTGTATAATGAATTACTGCCCCCTCCCCCAAAAAGCAACTTAGCAGCTTAAAACAACAAATTTATTATTTCACACAGCTTCGGAAGTTTGGGAAACAGAGAATGGCTTAGGTGGGTGATCTGGTTCAGGGTCTATCAAGAGTCAAGGTGACTGCAGGGACCATGGTCACCTGAGAATTGGCTGGGGCTGGACAAGGTTCACTCCCATAGGTACTGGTAGTTCTTCACAGACTGTTGGAAAAGGACTGTTGGTTTGGGATCATGTGGGTCTCTCCACAGGGGTGCCTGAGTACCCTCCCAACAAGTCAGCCAGAAGCCACCAGAGCAAGTGGCCTGAGAGAGAGAGGGAGAGAAAACAAGGAGGAAACACCACCCTCTGTGACCTAGCCTCCAAAACAGTTATCACTTTGACTTTATGCCATTTGCTTTGTCCTGTTCCTTAGAAGCCCGTACCTAAGTCCAGCCCCAACTCCAGAGGAGAAGAATTGGCTCCATTTTTTGAAAGTAAGAATATCAAAGAATTTTTGAACATGTCCTAAAACCACCTTTTCTCTGTCCAAACTTAGCCTTCAAATAGGATATATCTTCACTGATGTACAGACTCCCAATTCCAGTAGATGTCCTTTCTGAGGAGCCAGGAAAAATAACAACCTAGCTTCTGCCCTGGTCTTTTCACTTAAAGGAAAACAGGTTTTTCTGCCCCTAGCTCCCCCTCAACACCCACCCCCACAGTAATTCCCCTTTATTTTCCTGCAGCCATTGGAGGCTTATCCAGTTCTTCCATCTTAGGGTTTATTGAAAGAATCCTAAACAAATTGACCAACTTTGTCCCCTATTATTGGATACTTTGGGAGAAGATAAGCTTTTCTAGAGCTAGTGAGGGAGTGGTGGTAGGCCCTGTTTAAACCCCGCTGTTGTCAATTTCACATACAAAAGGTAAGTAAAGATATTTTGGAAACTATAAAGCTTTATATAATTGTTGTTGTATCTGCTCACCATGGGAATGAAAATAGTGGTAATGATGTACATCTAGGATGAAAAGTATAATGCACGCAGTGGTAAGCACTCAGTGACTACCTATGGCTGACAGGGAACTGTCTTGTGTCTAAAAGACAGTAAATCAGCAACACATTCACTCAACTAGAATTTAATGAGCACCTGCTGTAAGTCAAACTTTACTGTTTTAGGGATACACGAGTAAACACAACGAGAAAAATCTTGGCCTTAGGACATGTATATTATATGGGGAGAGAAAGTGAGGCAAAAATTTATTATTTTTTAAAGATTTTATTTATTTATTCATGAGAGACAGAGAGGCACAGACACAGGCAGAGGGAGAAGCAGGCTCTTTGCAGGAGCACGATGTGGGACTCCTCCCAGACCCCAGGACCACACCCTGAGCCAAAGGCAGACACAACCACTGAGCCACCCAGGTGTCCCAGTGGGGCAAAATTTATGACTTTTAGACTTAGGTTCACACGTGATTTGAAGGGAACACTTCTGAGTATTTCATAGAAATATGTTTTCCTCTAAGGGACAATGTTTACAGGAAAGCTCGAGTAGAGAAGGGTTATTACCACCCCAAATGGTCTCTGTGGCTTGTACTCCAGGGAAGTCACTATTGTCAGGTGGTTGGAGTCCAGTCTTGAGCAACCAGGTATTGAAATCATGCTGCCTGCAGTTTGCTCCTCATGCATACTCTATATTACCAGGCTCCTGGAAGCTGGCAAATAAGACCCAGAGAGAGGGCCAATTCACCGATTTTACAGTATTTAGAATGGGTGTGAAGGAAAATGAACATTTCAGAGCCTTATCCTATAGTTACCAGATGTTAATGCTAAACAATGAGAAAGTCAATTCTCATAAGAAATGGTCTTAACACTAGCTCATTTTATTGGTAAAGAGAGCTATGACTGCAGGCAAATTTTTGGAGTTGTATAAAAGAAATTGAGTGTCAATAAGAAAACGTGAGGCCTGCACACCTGCTAGATCCTAGACAAGATACCAGCACTGCCGGAGTTCAACTTAGAGGCACTCCACACCTCCTGGGAACCTGGACAGCTCAAAGCATTTTCTCTATGGAACAATTAGAACTAGAACCTGCAAGGTGCCCTTCCGCCATGCTGTGGGTATATGCCAGAAGGGAAGGACAACTCTGCTCCCAGCCTGACTATACCAGATGTGGGGGCGGAAGGTACCAGTGTCTATGCTCTGAATCTCTGCTTATTTGGTGGGAAGGTGGTAAAGTCCCTTTGCTGCGAAACACTTTACATATGGGCTACCCAAGGGATCAAGATGGGGTGGGGGGGCCTCTAGACCATAGCCCTTAAAAACTAGCTAGTAGGCAACTGCTTCCATAGTAGTTAACGTACAGAGACAAGGCATGGCCTTCCCAAATTACAAGTTCTACATAAAGGAAATAGGATGTTGTTGTTGCTGAAGACAAGTTTACAGCATTCCAGTGGCACTCTCAGGACCTTTCACTAGGTTCGCACTTAAAGTAACACCCAGCCCAGAAGTACAACAGCCGCTCTCGGTGAAAATGAAAGTGGCTCTGAAAAGAGCCTTTGGGAGGGACAAGCTTTGGAAGGACAGTTTACGCCCTCTCCCCGCGGATACGCCGCGCCAGCTGGATGTCCTTGGGCATGATGGTGACGCGCTTGGCGTGGATGGCGCAGAGGTTGGTGTCCTCGAAGAGCCCCACCAGGTAGGCCTCGCACGCCTCCTGCAGCGCCATGACGGCCGAGCTCTGGAAGCGCAGGTCGGTCTTGAAGTCCTGCGCGATCTCGCGCACCAGGCGCTGGAACGGCAGCTTGCGGATCAGCAGCTCCGTGGACTTCTGGTAGCGCCGGATCTCGCGCAGGGCCACCGTGCCGGGCCGGTAGCGGTGCGGCTTCTTGACGCCGCCGGTGGCCGGCGCGCTCTTGCGGGCCGCCTTGGTGGCCAGCTGCTTGCGCGGGGCCTTGCCGCCCGTCGACTTGCGCGCCGTCTGCTTCGTGCGAGCCATGAAGAGGTGCTTGTATTGCGAAAACCGGCAACTGGAGAGTTGCTGCCGGGACCAGACTTTATACGGACAATCCCCTCCTGATTGGTCACAACTGTCGAGGAAGTAACCTGATTGGTTCTTAATCCAATCCTCATTGGAGTCCTCTGGTCTTCCAAACGGCTTTGTTTTCCATACTAATGATTTTAGTTATATTCATTATTTTTATAGGAAAAAAATTACTTTCCTCCATCCTGTCTACTGTTCTCAACTGAAACGTTAAGATTTCGCCAGTGAAAGGGAATCGGACCTGGAATTTTGGAAGTCAGCGCCAAAATTGTCCTTAAAAAAATGCATTTTAATTTCAGCCTTTCCCCCTTTTGGTATAATATGGGGAAAAATTGGGGTCCCTGAGTGGCGCAGCGGTTTAGCGCCTGCCTTTGGCCCAGGGCGCGATACTGGAGAACAGGGATCGAATCCCACGTCGGGCTCCCGGTGCATGGAGCCTGCTTCTCCCTCTGCCTGTGTCTCTGCCTCTCGCTCTCTCACTGTGTGCCTATCATAAAGTAAAAATTTAAAAAATATATATGGGGAAAAGTTACATCAGAATGTGTTGGTTAGTCTCTCTTTTAAAAAGTTCAGTTTCATGAGAGCATTAAGACCAACTTTTATTTATTTTTTATTTATTTTAAAGATTTTAGGTATTTATTCATGAGAGAGTAGCAGAGACATAGGCAGAGGGAGAAACAGTCTCCTCGCAAGGAGCCTGATGCAGGCCTCCATTCGGAATTCGGGGATCACGCCCTGAGTTGAAGGCAGATGCTCAACCGCTAAGCCACCCAGGGGTCCCAAGACCTTTTAATGATTGTATGGAGACCTAGAACAAAAGCGTTTTATTTTTATTTTTTTGTTGTTTTTGAACAAGTTTTAAGACTGGTGTGGAAGCCGCCTGGAGCACCAAATCGTTCCTTTGCCCTGCGTACTGTGGTGAGAGGTTGATAGGTGTTAGACATCATTAACTTATTTCGATGCAATCAAATAGATTACAGTAAACGTGGTTTCATGGCTTTATAGTTGAACAGACGGAGTTGAAGGACTTTTACCAGAAATGGCCAAGTCAAAAGGGAGACTAGGTATTGCCCCTAACATTTAGGTTATCGGTGATTAAGTTTCAAAAGTGTTCAGGTTCTTCCTCAGAAGTAGTGGGTGGCTCTGAAAAGAGCCTTTGGTTGAAATTGTTGCCATTGAAACCTTACTTCCCCTTGGCCTTGTGGTGGCTCTCGGTCTTCTTGGGCAGCAGCACGGCCTGGATGTTGGGCAGGACGCCGCCCTGCGCGATGGTCACGCGGCCCAGCAGCTTGTTGAGCTCCTCGTCGTTGCGGATGGCCAGCTGCAGGTGGCGCGGGATGATGCGCGTCTTCTTGTTGTCGCGGGCCGCGTTGCCCGCCAGCTCCAGGATCTCGGCCGTCAGGTACTCCAGCACGGCCGCCAGGTACACCGGCGCGCCCGCCCCGACCCGCTCCGCGTAGTTGCCCTTGCGGAGCAGGCGGTGGACGCGGCCCACCGGGAACTGGAGCCCGGCGCGCGACGAGCGCGTCTTGGCCTTGGCGCGAGCCTTGCCGCCCTGCTTCCCGCGTCCCGACATAGTGAGTTACTAGTAACGTTTGCTAAGGGTGGCTAGAGCACCACGTTCAGAAATGCATGTTTTATACCTTCTCCTGGGCGCGAAAAGGTTGTTATAAGATTGGTTAACATTTCATTTCAATTTAGACCAATGGAAACGCAACTCCGTAGAGTGACCATCTTGATTGGGTCAAACTGTGGCGTGATGTCACCCAGGGTAATCTCCAATCACCAGCGACCCTCCCCGTCTCCTTTGCAGAAGTCACTATAATTGAAGAGGTGCGTTTCCCTGGTTTACTTTGCTTTCCTGCCAGTCACCATGCCCGAGCCCGCCAAGTCCGCGCCGGCCCCGAAGAAGGGCTCCAAGAAGGCGGTGACCAAGGCGCAGAAGAAGGACGGCAAGAAGCGCAAGCGCAGCCGCAAGGAGAGCTACTCGGTGTACGTGTACAAGGTGCTGAAGCAGGTGCACCCCGACACGGGCATCTCGTCCAAGGCCATGGGCATCATGAACTCGTTCGTCAACGACATCTTCGAGCGCATTGCGGGCGAGGCGTCGCGCCTGGCGCATTACAACAAGCGCTCGACCATCACGTCCAGGGAGATCCAGACGGCCGTGCGCCTGCTGCTGCCCGGGGAGCTGGCCAAGCACGCCGTGTCCGAGGGCACCAAGGCCGTCACCAAGTACACCAGCTCCAAGTAAACGTGCCAAGTAAGCGTCTCCTTCCCTAAACCCAAAGGCTCTTTTCAGAGCCATCTACACTCGCAGAGAAAGCAGCTGGTGCATTTCGCCTGCAGTATAACTGTTTGGGGCTAGGTTGAGAGAGGGGAGATAGCTGGTAAAACATTGGGTAAGCATTTATTTAGGCTCACTATCAATGCAAATTTAGTATGGGTTCTTTGACGCTCTTTGGGAAGAGGGTTTCAGTTTTGTGCTCTGCCGCAATAGAAATTTCGCCTTTGATTACGCTTTATCAAGGAATCCCCGGATACTGAGCCTGGAGGATTGGCGGCAGATCCCTCCGGTAAGCAACCCTGCTCCATGGAGGGCAGTTCCCTAACTTAATCGTGTTCCTGAAGTCCTCGGCATCCTCCTCCCCTCTTGTCTTTGCTTTTTCCGGGGTTGATTTTTTTTTTTTTTTTTTTTTCCTCTTCCATCCTTGAGAAACCCAGAGTGGTGCGTTAGGATTCGTTGTCCTCTTCTGCCATCTTGCGGCAAGAGGCGGAGGCCGCGGTCGAAGATGGTCTTCAGGTTCCAATGAACCTGCCTAAATGGCTCTCCTCATAAGTTCAAAGTCCTGAGGACAGCCGTGAGCTGTAGGTAGGTACAGTCACTATTTCTGTCTCCCTTTAACCACTGGATTTAACTGAGTTTCTCCAACAGTCACTCGTGCACACGACAGCGGGAAAGCCCAAGAGGAGAGCAAAAGTCATGGTGATTATTGCCGTCGGGTCAAAGCTGCCAAAGAAAAATCAAAATACTCTCTAAAATTTTTAAGATATGAGGTGTAACGAGGGTTATGCACTCTCAATTTCTGGTCCTGAAAGTAATAAATGCTTTAATGTTTCCTGTAAACGAAAACACCTGATGGAACTCCTACCCCTGATTTTGCTGAGCTGCCCTTTGAAGACACCTCAGCATTTACGAATATGATTACATGTAACTAAATTGTACTTTTTCCATCATGAACAGGTCAGTATAAACTTGGTAACCTTGGTCATTTTGCAGTTCCCTCTGTCCTTTTAAATATGCGTGCTTCCCCAAAGTTTTACTCTTGCTCTCTTTGCAGGTAGTCCTTGTTTCCAAATGTTTGTCTTAGCCCTCCTTTGACACTTTTACTGCCTAACCAAATCCAAACATCCGATCAAAATGCTTGCATTAGTTTTCTGGTGTTGCCACAACAAAATACCATTTACTTGGCTGGTTTAAATAACATACTCCGGCAGCCCGGGTGATTCAGCGGTTTAGCGCCGCCTTCAGTCCAGGGCATGATCCCGGAAACTCAGGATCGAGTCCCACGTCGGGCTCCCTGCATGGAGCCTGCTTCTCCCTCTGCCTGTGTCTCTGCCTCCCTCTCTCTGTGTCTCTCATGAATAAATAAATAAAATCATAAATAAATAAATAAATAAATAAATAAATAAATAAATAAATAAATAAATAAATAACATACTCATTTCCTCGTGGTTCTGGGGGCTACAAGTCCAAGATCCAGGTGTGAGCAGGGTTGGCTCCCCTTGGCTTGCACCTGTGTCCTCACGTGGCCCATTTCGGTGTTTGCACACCTCTGGAGTCTCTTCTAAGAACATTAGTGCTATTGGATTAGGATCCTCCTTATGACTTCATCTAACTTTAATTACCTCTTAAAGGCCATGTCACACTGGGGTTAGGGCTCAACTATGAATTTTGAGCGAACACAATTCAATCCATAACAGCACATAAGGTCTTGCTCTCAGCCTTCTATTCCAAATTATCTTTCATAAAACACTTCCCTTTAGCTCAAGCTGCAGCTAAAGACAGTTGTGCTGTCCACCTAACCAGAGATTTAAAGTCAAATACTCACAAGGACCCACCCCATAAGAGCGAAACTGGCTGAATGCTAGAAACCAGGCCTTGTCCACAAAAAAAAGGTGCTCTTTGCAATTTTTTATTGAAGCAACATAGGCTTTTGGCACCAAATTTCATTTTCCTTGTTTTAATAGCATATTTCTGTTCTCTTAATGCTGCTGTAAGAACAACCGTTGCACGAGGATGTTGAAAAAACTGCCAGCTAGCATCTGCCCATGAAAGGGACCAGTTGGAATGTCAGATACCTGAAACAAATGAGGCCATGTGAGGGGTTTCACCTCATCATTGCCCTGCTGCAAACCCTGGACAGCAACTCTTTAAATTTTTTTAGAAGATATGCACTTTAGTATGGAATGTTCTAAATTTTCAATATAGGCAGCAGCTAATAAAAAATGTATGACGTGGTGGCGACAGATAAAAGAAATATCTGCATTCTTCATCAAACACTTAAGTTTGCAATTGGAGATCTCTGGGCATTAATGAAGATTTCTATGTCCCTGACAAGCTGTCCCGTGTACTTCTGCCACCAAAGCCCAGAGCACATGCCCAGATCTCCCCAGCTTCCTAAATCTTCCACCGAAAAGAATCTGTTCAACTTGGCAGCTTGGGGCAGAGCACCAGGTCTTGCACACAGCAGGCACCCCCAGCTATTTTGTCCTATTTAAGTAAATGGAAAAAGAAGTGAACTAAAAGAAAAATTACCATTTCTTCAAGCTACTACTAGCAGTGAAATAAAAGTGGAAAGGGGTATTTGGAGGTATTTATTATGGATTTAATAGCTACCTGGGTAAATAAACCCATTCACCTCTAATTATGGGACATTTATCTTACTGGGATACATTCTCCTCTACCTACTTTTCTTCCATCAGTCTCAATATTTTCTCTGTTTTCTTTTAGTGCTCTCCATCTCTCCTGTCTTGTGAAAGGAAGGAGACCGTAGAGGCCACAAGAATCTTAAACAGCTCCACCCCTTCTCTTAGCAGGACTCCCTTCTGCAAATGGCCCACCTTGTTCCCTGGACCCAGCTTCTTTCTTTCTCTTTTTAGTTTCTTGTTTTCTACTGTCTATTTAAATGAGATACAGACTCACATGCTGTTTAAATCAACTATGTAGTGAATCACTGATTTTATTTTGTTTTACTTTACCTTCATGCATATAGAAGAGTTAAGAACCATATTGTCTTCAGATTGAACAAAGAAATATCATAAATGTAAAAGTCTTGAAGGAAAAAAGAAGATTCCAGTTAGTTAGCATCTTATGACTATTTTCAGAGAAAGACACCAGAAACCAATACTGCACCGTATGTTATTGACTAAAAATTTAAATTAAAAAAAAAAAGGAAAATTAAAAAATAAATAAAAAAGAGAAAGACAATCATGTGCAGACCTAGAATTTAAATGTGACTTTCAGAGGTCATAGCAATCTGAAGTCAATGTCTTTGAAAATTCTTCACCAGAAATATCCGTGGCCAGGTCCATTTTATGAAGCCCTATAGGATCTATTCCTCTGCAGCTGCAAAGGGGATTTCCCTCACCTGCACTAAAAGAAGGTCTGGGTTTTCAAGCCTTGATGCTGGCATTCCACTAGTTGGTACCCACCGATAGAAGCAGGCCTGAGAATGAAATGTTGACATGGAGAAGGAAAAGGGGGATTATTACTAAGAGAGGTATGAGTTGTCAGAATAAATTACTAGCTACTTGGAAGTGAAGAAAAGCATACCAGGGCGCCAGTCATTGGTGCCATGTGGTCACTTCCACATTACCTCATCTGCAGAGCAGTGCATCTTTGCTTGCACTTAAATCATTAGGCTATTTTACAGCTTGATAGAGATAGAATGTAAGTGGTAGATATCAATAAAGTGCAGATGATTCCAGGTGACAAGTGTAGAAAGCAAGGTGGGGAAGAGTGAGCTGGCCTCCGTCTCCTTGTCCTCCTCCAAAGCTCATCAGACTGTGAGCTCTGCAAGAGGAATATAGCTTCATACAAGGAACTTCCAGGCCTCTGGAATTCTGTGCTTTGGAAATCTCAATAGTCAGCATTGATATAGGACTTTAATTCAAAGCTGCCAAGTGAGGACTACAATTGAAGATGAATACTTTGAGGAATCAGGAGACTCGAGATCTACTATCCAGCTGCTACTGCCACTCTTCAAAAATAAAAATCATTCATTCAACAACAAGAATGGGAGAGAAGCACAGAAAATTCTTGCAGACTTGCCCTGAGAAAGATACTAAGTTTGGGACTATGGGTAAAAAGAGTGGTTCAGTTTTTGTGGGCTTTTAAAATTTTAAATATAGAGATTTCTAGTGAATATGCCATAATATTAAATAATCGTGTGTGGTTATTTTTGTATTCTTCCATAATTTTTTAAAAGGTAAAAGAAGGTGGAGAAAACTCAAATACTGGTGTTTGCTGTATTAGAAATTGCAACTTTTAACATACTTACAAAATCACCAGTACTTAAGATGTGCCAGGTAGTATTCTAGATACTACAACAACCACAGTGGCAAAAGAGACAAAAAACCAAAAACTCTGTTCTTGTGAATTTACATTTCAGGGGAGAGAAAATATATACTATAAAATATACCATACAGCAGGTAGGGCTAAGTGCTAAGAAGGAAAACAGAGCCGGGATGGGGAGGTGGGGGAGACTGCTGGGGAAGTTGCTATTTTAAATACTCCAAACTGCCCTTAACTGAATCTCTAAAGCTGAGACTGGCCCTATACGGTGCTTTTTGAACTCGAAACTTACGTCTGGTTCACAATATGGTAGTAGGTAGAGATGGTGACCTTTCCACTGATGGGCTAAAATGAATCCTCTGCTCTCCACATGGCGAACCTGACATTACTTAGTTAGAAATTCCTGGTTGGTACATGAATTTCGTCCAAAAGTTGCAGAACCTTAGTTAGAAACGCAGAGACCGGATTCTAAGGCTCTGTTCTAAATGTATCCAATTGGGGGGGGGGGGGGGGTTGAAAATCAAAACAAAACCACAACAGGCTTAGCAGAGGATGGTTTCGATCCATCGACCTCTGGGTTATGGGCCCAGCACGCTCCCGCTGCGCCACTCTGCTCCACCGAAGGGTGCTGTTTTAAGTAGTCCCTTTATTTTATTTCCTCTAAAGGTTGCCACCTTTATCCTAATTTTTTTTTTCCCCGCAAAGT